TTGGGCGTGTAATTGCTCTTTAACATTCAATACTGAAACACACAAAACAAAATTTAAGAAGAATCAAACCGTAGTAATTCTCCAGTGGACCTCCGTGGTGGTTCCCAGTGTGGTTAGCAGCATATTTGTTGATGAAAATAGAAGCTTGGAGCAGCATTTCTCCAAGTTAGAAGAGTTTAATCCCATTTTGAAACATATACAGTAAAAGTGTAAATCATGTCTGTTTGGGAAATTGTGGAAGAGAGGACTTTGCATTTGCTCATAGAAATTGGATGTATAGTTTGCCTCCATCTGGTTCAAACATGGTTCTGAAAGAGGACATGTGGTTTCACTGATGTACAATAAATGTCTTCTGCTGTTAGACAGGCGAGCTAAACTACACTGATTAACACAACTTTGTTTTCCCAGCTAATAGATCAGTGAAACTGGCAGCAGCGACAGCACAGCCACTGTATAGATTAATACAATGTTCACACTCAGAGTTTTGTTCCAAAGTGAAGAGATTAAAAAAACATTATCTCTGCAAATAATGTCTGTCATGAAAATGTTAAATGAATCAATCATCTTTGTCTGATTTATTAATCAGTTTTCACGCGCTGTTCTTCACATTAATGCCTCATTTTGGAACGAAACTCTGCGTTCATAAGCTTTCAGTGTACCGCAGACTTTGTAATGATTTATTTTCTTGTTGGAAATTGGACCAGCAATGTTCATTTGTCACTGACTTTGACTAATGTTCGGTTTCTCTCAGCCAAAGCCGCTTCTTCCATTAAGAAATTAATGTATTGTTTCTTATCATTAAGTATTTGTGCTTTGAACAGTTGGACACTGAATGACATTTTTTTTTTAAATGACTGATAATTTTCTGAAAAATGAATGCATTGCTTTCAGTTGATTGATTTAATTTTCGTATCACTGATTGTATAGTTACAGTAGGAGCTGTAGGGAGACCAAACTAAAACTGAATTGTGAAGTTATTATGGAAAGCCAGTATATTATAGGAGCAAAAACTGTTCAGTTAGCAGGTGTTAAATGTATAAATGTCCTCAAAGGCAATTTGCTGAAATGCATTATGTAAAATGATCAAAATAAATATGGACACACGCAGATTTTCTCACTGGTCACAGTTGTCTTGTTTTTGTGTCTTGAGACTTTTCTAAATACAGAACCTTGGTGGAGCTTGACATGTAGAGTGGAGCGCAAAAGTCTGGTCCACATTTCTGTTTAGTGAGCTGAAAAATAACTGATCTCTAAAAGGCATAAAGATGAAACATTCTTTACAGCATTCATATATGATTAGTCATGGGTCATCCCACCTCAATTCACAGAATGTATTTATTTATTTTAACTTCATCCGTAACCATCTTTAATCTGACAGATTTTTTGTTAAGTGGTGAATGTTGATATTAAATATTGAGTTGAGTGTGTGTAAAATCTGGAGTCACAGGTAACAAATAAGTTAAAAATTCCTAAAGAAGGTGGGATCATGTGGATTTTTGCATTGCTTTTTTTTGCATCAATCTGTGGAACAATGTATAAGGTGGTTTAACTTGAGAAATAACATAGCTAGAGTCCTGAAACTTGACAAGAATATACATATGGTCTTTAATTGTAAAACCCTAGTTTGATAGAATACAAACCAGTTATATGATGGTGCAAACTTGGTCAAATGTCAGTGTTTCCATCTACTCCGATATTCCACCAACCATAAAACCATTATTTTTTTTAACCTAAGAGGTTCAATTCAATTCAATTCAATTTTATTTGTATAGCGCATATTTACAACAAGAAGTCATCTCATAGCGCTTAACAAAGGCGGAAACAGAAACACCCAACAATCCAAAACATTTGGATTCCCTATAAGCTTCAGCAGTCCGAAAGCAGTCCGCAACAGTGGGAAGGAACCGAAAACATGATTGCTATGGTACCACTTTTCATAAAATTATTTTAAGCACTATGAGTTGGAAAACCATGATTTTGTGATCATATTATATGATTCTTCCAGTTGGGACACTAATAGAGTGGTGTCCCCCAACATACCTGCTCAATTCATGGTCATATTCACTATAAATGCAAAAAACACTTTTTTTTCCTCTCCCCCTCTTCATGAATTAAGCCTCTGACTGGCACCATACTCTGCATTTTTAAAGCTCCTATTAATGTCAATCACAGGAAACAAATTCAGCCTCTCAGTGTGAAGAATAAAGGGTTTGTTGGAATATTGGAGAAGACAGAAACTTTAAAAGTTTTTGATCAAATTTACACCATCATACAACTAGTTTATATCATTCTATCAAAAGATTGCACCATATGTACATATCAATAAATCTGCAGCTACATTATTTCTCAAGTTATGGCACTTCGAACTGAAACAACAGACATGACTTCACCCCTCTTTAGGAATCTTTAACTAAAAACTATTGCTACCTGTGACCCCAGATTTTTACGCATGATCAACTCAATCAATATTCATGACTTTAAAAACAAACAAAACTGTCCACTTGAAGGGTGTCAGGGGTGGGGCATTCAGTGAATTGAGGCAGAATCACCCATATTGTTTTTCTTTTGTCGAATTTTAGAATGAAAAGATGAGTGAAGAGATCTGAGCTCTGAGACAGCTTTTAGCAAGGTCTCTTAATTGGCTTGTTGGGAATGTGACTTACTCTCAAGCATCACTAGCAAAGGCCAGGTGAAGCCTGTTTCAAAGCTTTACAACCTTGTCCCAACAATGGGCAGCCGCGGGCTTCAGCCAGAAGCTGCATCGCACTTTGAACATCAAAATATCGGATACCTACAAAGCAGCAGAAGGATGTAAGAAGAATGCTGAATGTTTTCATTTTAATCGAGAAACGGCAGTCAACAGGATAAGTGGAGGTCAAGTTGATGACAAAGAAAACTTTCCCAGAGAACTGCTTGTAGGACTACTTGAACGACAAAAGAAAAAAACCCCTCAAAAGACCTTCAAGAAGATTTCAGAGACCCTGAAGTGGTGCTTCAATGACACCTGCACAAATATGACCTTCACTGCATCCTTACAATTTCACATCAAAGTTTTGAACATCTACACAAGACCGAATAAGTTAAAATAGAATTTGATGGCTGCAGCGGTCAAAGGCATCTTTAGAGGAAAAAGGGAATTTCATAACAAGACCATGTTTCCAACCATTAAGCACTGGGATGTTGGCCTTGTGATACAGCCAGTGGCACAGGGAACATGTCAGTGATCAGAGGGAAGAATGGATCCTATTAAATAGCAGCAAACTCTGACAGTAAACATCATACCCGCTTTAAAAAAAAAAAAAAGGGCTGAGGATGAAAAGAGGAGATGCAACAACAAGATAACGATCCTGAACACACCTGAAAATCCAGTTCAAGAGGCGCAAGTTGAAGGTTTTGCCTTCAAGGTCCACGACCGGAACATCATCAAAGATTTGCGCATCGGCCTTCAAAGGGCAGCGCGTGCAAGACGGCCGAAGAATCTCACAGGAGCAGAAGTGTTTTGCAGTAAGAATAGAGTAAACTCTCCTCAACAGGAACTGAATCAGTCTTAGCTGCTACAAATAGCGTTTTACAACCTGTGACAGCCTTCTGATGTGGTGTTACTAAGTCCTGACTCGATTTTACTCCAGGCCTTTTTTCTTTTAATTGGTGTTTTGAAACAGTAAAAGATGGAAAGAAAAAAAATAACCTTCCTTAAACTCCATCCATCCGTAAGCTGGAGTCTATCACAGGGCTACACTTAGAGACAGACAACCAAGCACACTCACATTCACACCTACGGACAATTTAGAATCACCAATTAACCTCAACATGTTTCTGGACTGTGTGGGAGGAAGTCAGAGAACCCGGAGAGAACCCACGCTGCACGGGGAGAACATGCAAACTCCACGCAGAAAGATCCCAGGCGTCCTAACCGGGACGCGAACCAGAGATCTTCTAGCTATGAGGCGACGGTGCTAACCACAGAGTCACCGTGCAGCCCCCTTGCTCAAAATATTAAAGTAATGTTCAGTACATTTATTGACATTTGTAGCTCGTTTTGTTTCATAACTATGACGTTAGAACTGTGCTCGTGTCGCCGATGAATATCTATCTAAAATCAGACCAGGGAAATATATCAGTATATTATTTAAAATCAGTACCTTATATTGTATATTCTACAACAAAACAAACTGAATTGTCACCCCAAACATAGAGAACAAATTGGAGCATCTACTTGTAACACCCACCAGCATGAGGTCAGAACTGAACGTGAATTTCTATCAGTACAAATGTCAAAAAAAGCAACAGCAAAGGCGAGAGGTGTGGGTTCTGCTTAAAACTGAGGGCGGTGGTGCCTTTGGCAAAGTGTTATTGGGTAAGTCATGGGCTTCATTATTAGAATTTTAATTCTCTCTGTTTATGTTTCTTTGGATGCTTAAGAGATGTTGTTCAGTTATATTGAAACAATAATTCCTCATGTCCCCACGCTCTGCTGCTGAATCCGTCTCCAGCCCTTTAAGGAAGGGTTTTGCTTGTCGAAGATGTGTGAAAACACAGGTTTAATTTAAAATAGTACATTCATATAAAGCCAATTTGAGCTTGTAAAAGTGTTTTAGAGTCAATGTGTCGCTGCCCACAACATTAGAAACGTTTTTTTTTAAAGCAGGCACTAATCAGTAGGTATAAAGGGTGGTTGGCAGGCGGTTGATTGAGTGAACAAAGCATTGCTTCAGGATCAGTGCTTGTCTTTCTATATATATATATATATATGTGTGTGTGTGTGTGTGTGTGTGTATTAGTTATTGTGGAGAAATTGGACTTAAGCATTGAAATTCATCTTTAAACCTTTGTTTCACATGTGGATAGACATTAAACCCGAGCAGTAATTATGTGTCTTTCAAACATTTAATACATTGTTCGCCCAGTAAATTTGTTCTAAAATATCCTTATGCACCCCCATAACAACACTCTTTCTGTTCATATGAATTATTCCAGATATACAAAGAGAGATGCACTAATACCCTCACAAATATCTGCAAATATTTATTGAAATTATGACACAAGAACTGCATTGTGGTGAATGTATTCTACATCTTACACAGCAGACATTCTCAGTATTGTCCCTCGGGTGACGTTCCAGCAGCCTGAAATGTCACTTATGACCTTTTACTGGCTCCTGAAATGTGACTGAGTCAGGCTGCCCGACTGATCACATGACTGCATTATACACCTCTGCTTTATAATACATGCAACAGGTACTTCATACTGTCTCCTTATGAAGCATATTGCCCACATTTCAGCCCGATGAACTACAACAACACAAAAAAATATCCTCTCTAATTAAAATAAATTACATTTTCTGCACAAACCGTTGTTTGAATTGAATGAAGTGTTAAATCTCTAGAGTGCAACAAATGAAATTATCTACAGTCTTTGTACAGCATCTGAGTGACTGCTTTTGGTTGTATTTTACACTGGAGGCTGATGTGTGTGGAAATAAAACCCCAAAATGTGTTGCTGTCTTTGTTCAAGTTACATTATCATGCAGAAAACAGAGGAAATTGTTAACGAAATAAATACACGACCCTTCTAAAAGAGCAAAACAACCTCAAACCTTATGTGTTGTGGATAAAATTACATAAATACACCTTCCAGCAATTGTTTCACCCACATAGCTGTAATTACAATCATATATCATCCACTGACTGAGGATTTTTAGACTGATACTGTAGGTTTCAGAGACAAAAATCTCAGGATAGCTATCTATCCTGAAAGAGTCGCCATCACAAAATGTGAAGTGAAAATTGGGTTTAAGAGGACATTGAGTTACTACTCTGCAAGTCTTGAACCCAAATCATCTTGAAAACTTTAACTGTGGAACTGCAGTAGGTAGGAAACTTAAATACAGAATGGAGCATAAACCTGGTTTTATAATATCTGAATATTCCTGGGAGGGTTTAGAAAACTGAGGTCTTGTCAAAAGTCGATCGTGATACAAAGCAGCAGCTGTAATATCAGCTGGCATTAATCTACTACACGTTTCGCCTCTTCTCTCACTGGTTGCACAGCATTGCACCGTTAATGTAGGAAACACATGAAGCTGAGCTGATTTCACAATGACAGTCTATTAATCACAGCAAACCATCATGCTCACATCCATCTCAGTCATTACAAAAAAGATCGTGTCGGACTGTTTAAGCAGTCTGGACAGTCCACATTCAAAAGAACAATAAGGTAACATGTCTGGCAATTGTATGCTTATGTTAATGTAGACAACTTTGTGTAGTTTGTCATTTGGGAAAGCACATCTATTCCCTTCCTTACTGAGAGTTTAAAGGCCACACCATGCCATTTTTCTATGTTAGGCAGCGACATCGCTATAAGTCGAGGCGATACTAGTTTAATTGTCTTTCTCGTAGCTCGTCCTGTTTTCTGAATCAAATAGCTTTTCAGCTAGCATAGCGCTTTAATTGATCAAGTTGTGTGTTAGCGTCCACGTAAACTACAATTTCATCAGGATTTCTGAAGCGATAATCACAGTGAAGTTTGAAAAGAAATATCAGTATTTTACGTCACAACCATACATAGACATGTGTGTCATCGACAAACACACGTTGGTATGGCTGTGACACTATGTACCAATCATGCATCGATCCTTAGTGAAGTCTGCAAGCACTTGCTAGCACGTCGTCAACAGCTAACTACTAGCTAGCTTTTTCAAACTCTGTAAATGGCAAATGAATAAAATTAAACAAAAACGTATAATAAAGAATTCTTTTGTAGGAAACTACTTTTGCCATGCTGGTGTAACATTTTTCCTTTGGTAGCTTCATTCAGTATAGATTAGCTTCGAGCTTCGAGCTATACTTTCCAAGTCCTTGCGTAAAACTGCCTTTTTTACACTTTGGTTTGTATATATATATATATATATGTCTTTAACTCAATGCACATGATTTCAATTTGCATTTTTGTGAGCACACTGATAAAACAAGCAAACTATTCAGACACTGATTTCTGAAATATTGGGTGCCATCAGTGGTCAATGACTACGCAGGGAACCTTTAAGCAGTTTAGTTGGTCAAATGGTTAGTAGGAAGCAGGAATAAGAAGATTTATGCTGTTAATTAAGAAGGAATAAGTAGCGATTACACAACTGAACAGAGTGTTTGGAGCATCCAGCGGCATTCTAATCCTGGATAAGGTTTAAAAAATGTCTAACTGGAAAACCCATTCATCATTTTTCTGCCCGGAAGACGCAGATTTATAAATATGACATGGTCTCTGTGCAACTGTGGTTTCCGTTAACTACTGACCAGAGAAGAGTCAAAGAATGAAAGAAAAGTAAGCAAGACATCAAAGTGAAACAAAGTACAAGTGTCACACTGGAGTTTTTCAGAGGAACATGCATAAGAAAAAGCAGATCGTTTGCTCTTCACATCATCATCCAAACACATGTATTTCAAACATGTAACCAGGGATGTACAGTAGAGGTTGAACCCAGTTTCTCGTCTTTAGGCTCACATGAATATGTATGAAATTTGTACGTACATTATATTCGATTGATCTCTGATTGTACCATGTTTCTTTTGGTTGGTTTGCTTTCCTTACATGGCATTAGTGTTTACCCTTCTTCAACTCACGTTAAATCACTGTTAATATGACAGCATATAGCTACAGCTGCAGTTACTGACTGTTCATTTCATACATTTTCAAGGCCTCCAAACAGCACAGAGACACAACCAGACCACTGCTTTATCACCCTGCTGGAATAGGATTCATTAAAAAAAAAAACTACCATCTACAGTATCTCCTTACACACCTGAAGTAAACACCATATTTTAAGGTGTGCTTTAAAGGTCACTCCGTAGGCTGCTATGCCAATGGTTGTCAGATCTCATTTGGACATGAAACATGAGCACTCTTCACACTTAGATTTCTCAGGCCAGCTGACCTAAACCCTGCACGGTGACGGAGAGCCCAGAGCTACCTTAACCTCATATCAATTGAGACTTTTCAACCCAGAGTTCACACTCAAAACTCTGAACTGTGGTTAACATTTTGAGTACATCTATCTGAGATTTGATCAGACAGCAAACATGAAGGCAGCTCTGTAAACATCACTTCAGTCAGAACTCTGCAGCAACTTCAGTTATCTGTTGTTTCTGTCGCAGCAGGGTCACATAGCTGAAGATGCTTCTTCTCCTCAGTTTGCACGGATGCATCTTTTTGTTTGTTTTTTGGTGTCTCATATTTCTATAGATTTGCATCACTTCTAAAATGTGCTTCACTTTCTGCTTGACTTTTTGAGGGTAACAATGAAAAGTTACCCTGAAAGGACGAGTAAGCACAAATCTGAAGGTAGTTCAGCCTCTCGTTACTGTCATACCTCAAGCATCAGTCTACAGTTCAATGACTGGCCTAAGTCAGTCCAACAGGTCGTACTAGGTTAAAATTACAATGGTATACGTGACTTGCACAACTATACCAAGTTACTCAAAGATGAAACTGACAAAACTTACACAGGTGTTAAAAACCTGAATGAAATGATATCAGTTAGTGGATTATCATCTGCTCAGAAACTGCTCAGAATGAACAAACTTTCAACATCAAGTGAACATAACAGCAGACTCTGGGCCATTGTGGGTTTGAATCCCAGGGTTACGCCTGGTGTCCAAACCCCTTTTGGTTCTCTTAACATCTGGTTTCCATTCGGTAAGACGACAACGGCATACTGCTGGTAATCCTCAGCAAAAGTAGCACCGACAAGGCAGCTTTGTTGCCGAGGCACAAAACCAGAGCTATGGATGAGTGAGGTAAATGAAAATATGACAATGTATCAGACTTGACAAATACGCTGATGAGTAACACAAATGACATTCATTCACTGTAGCAAACATCACAGCGTCTCATGAGTTGGTCACATCAAACTTGTCCTGCACTGACTCCCTGTCTCTGAACGTGTCAAATCAAAACAGCTGACATCTGTGACTGACACACAGTCTTTTTGAATTAAAAAAAAAAACACAATTACAAGACACTTATTGTCCATGAATTGCAATTCAATTTGGCTTTTAAGAAAAAAATTGATACAGGTTAACAGTTTTCACATCTATTGAGGCAACTTTAAAAGACAATCTTACTCTTTATAAGTGATTGTCAGGCAATAACGTATTATATTGCTGTTACTGAATCCCTCTCTCATCAATAAAACATATTTAGGAGGCCTGTTCCCTAAAGTCTGTCACAGTGCTTAGGGTCATACACAAGAACCTTTACTGAATTTACACCTGGCATTAGCACATTAGAAATGTATGTGTACTACAGCTACACTACATTGAGTTTTATATTTATAAGCCTATTAAAGTCTTTTCAGTGCCTCTGGGATGTAAGTAACCCTGTATCTTTTCTTCTATTATCCAGATTTTTGTTGGAGTCACACAATGCAGTGTGGTATATAAAGCATTTACGTCTTTAATCTCTTTATCTTTTTAATCAAAGAAAACCAAGTACCTTTAATTTGCAGTAAACAACACCTGTGACGGTGAACCGGCCACGATGCAGTCGAACACTTTCATCGCTCATCAGCATGCACCTACGTGTTGATGAGACACATCAGAGACAGGGATGCTGCTGGGATCAATGTGGGAGCTCCTGGGATTTGACCCTCCGTCATTTGCATGCTAATCTGTTGCAGACGTGGGAAAGCAGCAGAAACGAGCACCGGCTGGGAAATTCATGGCTACAGGATTGTAAAATCTGATGATTTAAAACCAAAAACTGAAAAACATAAAAATACCAGTGGAAACTTGCCAACCTTTTTGTTCTTTTATGTTGTGAATTTAGGGTTTGAATACAAGACTCTGCCTTGATTTAAAGGTTTGTGTAATAAAACAACAGAACATGCTCTTGTCACTAAAATCCAATGAGTTCTTTGTTTTCATCATTTTTTAGTAAACTGTACGATTTTTTTTTAATGCAAGATAATTTCCCTATATAATAATAATGCTCAGATTTGAAAATAAGTTACTTTAAAACTTGTGATAAATTCAAACTGCTTCAAATGGACAATAAATTTAAAAGAAGCCACCGTGGAGAGAAATAAACAAAAACTGACATGCTAAGTTGTGACCCTTTATCCCATCCTAAATTATAAACATGTTCATTATGTACATCATAACGGGCATAATTATAAGAATATTCACAAAATGGTGGCAGTATTTTATATCAAAGACACAGGCGAGGCACTGCAGTGGCAAGTAGTGGAGGCAAAACACAGAAAGCAGAAGCTGCGAAGAAAATGGGAAACATCAACAACAACCCCAGGAGCTCAACCACTAAATAAATACATCAATAAATTAAAGACAAAATAGTTCTGTCCACTTCTCTCTGTCTGTCTGAGGCTGTCCTCTGTATTTGAAGACGCCACAGATTTAAACATCTCCCCCTGCTGGACTGGGAGATGCAGTGCTGCTAGTAAAATGAGGTGAGGAGTTGTTGTCCTATTGTCCCGACGCCCGGGCTGCTCTCTGCTCCAGCATTGACCTGAGTGCAGGGGACAGCATGGTGGGGGACATGGCTGGGGTGAAAGGTCGTAGAGGGTACTGTGCATTTTTGCCCGGGACATAAATGCACTGGAAGTATCTCTGGCCTGCGAAGACAAGAAGATGAGACGGATAGACGGTTGAAAAAAGGATGGTTTGGGTTGAAATTGGTGATTAAATCTTGATTAGTAGTAACAGTTTTAACACTGATGGCAAAGGAAGGAACATCCAGACTGAGTGCCAGTTGGAAGAACCTTTAAGTGGAGGTATCAACTGGTAAAAAATAAATAAATAAACAAAGTTGTGGCTGCACTGAGCATGTCATGTATACCATTATAATCTTACCACTGGATGCATCCAGTAGTTGCTGTGGCAAAACAAGACAGTGAGCTTCTGTTTTAGAATTGTTGTGTCTTTACTTTTTGCCAACAATTTGCCAGTTGTCTGCAGATCTTATAGATGTTGGCAGAAAACACCCACAGTCACTTATATATGTTATATTTTGTTAGGTTTGTCTGATGAACATAACTGTCGGTCCACATGTGTCCAACCACCGACCTGGTTTCTTCTTTTCTGTAACATTTTCTTCAGTCTGGGGCTCCTCTGTAAGAAATAAGAATAAAACTAAATGAGATATTTGCATCATGTGTGTTTGTGTGTCTGTGTGAGGAAGAAACAGAGGATGAGTGTCTACATGCATGTAAAGAGGGAAAGGAGGAAGGACGCAGTGATGTTCTATTTGTGCCGTTTCATTCTCCTACAAAAGTGCAGCCAAAATTATAATTCCATTTTTGCAAGAAATAAACATATATATATCCTTGATATTGTAGATATTTGTTTTGACTTGTTTTGTACCACTTGTCATTAAAAAATTTAAAAAAAACATTTAAATGTCATTTTTCTGCAATAATGGCACCTCTAATTTTGATGTTCTCCCATGGTAACAATTGTCTGACCTTACCACAGGCACTCAGCATATGTTAAAATAAATTACATGAAGAGTTTCAACTATTAACAATTAGCACTCCTGTCTAGCTCCCCACTTTGCACAATGGAACTGACAGTAGATAAACATCATGTATCAACATAATATCAGTCATTTTCCTCAGTTCATAGCACAGCACAGAATGAGTAGCTTCGAGTGCATCTCTTAGAAAACCATTTATTTTTTTCATCATTATGACTCACTTCAGTGAGTCAGTTCAATTCAATCCAAGTTTCAGGTTGTTTTTTTTTTTAAGCTATGATTTATCAAGGGAATTTTGTTATTTCAAAAACTTTACTTGGAACCGTTTTTCTTCTAAACTATTCAAGGTCATTGTCTCTCATCGTTACTCTTCCAGAGAACTGTGATTGGATTTACTGGAAACTTCATCATGCAAAAAGCAGACCACACAAATACTGGTTGACAGTGTCTACAAAGTAGTGACATCTCAAGAAATAATACCCGTCACTACAGATACTGTGCTGTTCGGAGTCTAGTTTGCTTGCTTTAAAGTCCCTCTGTGGGCAGTAATTAAATCCTTAAAAACTAATTTGTTGTGTATCAAATTTACATATTAGGAAGTTGTTGTTTTTTTACTCAACTAATCCTTTCTTTACTTGAAATGACTTAGGAGGAACTCTTCATTGTTTCTTCCTTCAGAATGTCATGCTCAGACCATAGACTGTACATAGAAGATGAACCTAACATACGATTCTGAGAAGTCAATGTACACGTGGCTTAACCTCTATTCTTTCTAACGACCAGCAGAGGGCGACACCTCTGGTTGCAAACTAAGGTCTGATTGCACCAAAGTCTATGAGAAAATCCACCTACTTCTCGTTTAATCCGTTACCTGCTTTATGCTTTTGTGGTCTCATTACTAGTTTTAAGACTTTTTGAATCCATCCATCCATCATCTATACACCGCTTAATCCTCACTAGGGTCATGGGGGGCTGGAGTCTATCCCAGCTGACTCAGGGTGAAGGCAGGGGACACCCTGGACAGGTCACCAGTCTATCACAGGGCTACACTTAGAGACAGACAACCAAGCACACTCACATTCACACCTACGGACAATTTAGAATCACCAATTAACCTCAACATGTTTTTGAACTGTGGGAGGAAGCCGGAGAACCTGAAGAGAACCCACGCTGCACGGGGAGAACATGCAAACTCCACACAAACCGGGGCTCTTCTTTCTGCGAGGCGACAGTGTTAACCACAGAGCCACCTTGCAGCCCTTTTCGAATACAGCAAGGTAAAAATACTCCGCCATCATGTTGATGGCTTGTTTCACTTATTATGTCTTCCAGCATGTAAAAATAGCAAATGAACATGTTAAAAAGGAAAACTAACTTGATTTTTATACATCAAAATAATAAAATGTTCCGAGTTAGCCTTTAGACTTTGCTTTAGACCAAAGAAATCTTTTTTTTTTTCAATCACACCCTAAGAAACAGGAGCAGCTGTGTCAGATATTAGGAAATTGTGGAGTCACTCGGGGCAGTGAGGGAGTGTTGATAATCCACTGGATGACTCAATAAGAACAGACCACTAATACCCTAATTTAATGTGTTTTGGTTCATGGATTTAATCAATCCAGCTAAGTATTATTGTTGCCATATTCATCAAAGGCCATAATCTCCTCCAATAATTCAAAGCGGCTCAAAGGGCCAGTAATCTGGTCCCAATCAGCTCATCTCATTAAATTCTAATCACTTATGTTCCTAATGTCATTAAAGTGAATGTCTCTTCATATTGAATTAACCAGTGGAAAGATGGTGAAAATTAACTGAATACCTCAGGCCTTACAGGAAGCTCTTTTCCCATTCTCTATTAACAACAAGCATACAGTGAAAAACATTAGTCAGAAAATAAACCAATTATTCGCACCACTGTGTGTCTTTGAAACACCACTTTGTAGTTTCAGTCATCAGGCAATAGAATACCTAAAGGTAATAAGTTGGATTCATGTAGGCTTGTTTCTTCATTCATCCAAGAGGCTTTATCAGTTCATTCAAATGATGGAAATGTTCAATTAAAGGCATTTTATGTGGTCATGCTTTTATAAATCCCAAAGCATTTTGCTGTAGCCTCTATACATCGACAGTCAAGCAACATATGCTGAATAATTAGGCCTCTGTTCATCTGTCAGGATGGGACAACATATCATCAATTATTAGATTTTTTTTTTGCTATGTACTGTTTTGTGATGTCACATCAACCTGTTACACTTTAAAGGTTTTGCACTACAGGTTTGAGGTTTTGGGATTAAGATGTTATATATAGGTGTATGATAATCTCATATAATGTAACACATTGTTAAAGGCTGCATATGTTTTCCAGCCATTATTTCAGAAATCAGCATCAAGTATTGGCCTGTTGTTACACTGAGGAGTTTTGAACAGGATTCCTTTTGAATTTTTCCAGATGATTTCATTCCATTTAACTGTAACTGTTCAAAATGTCACAACAAATTCAAAGATTAGAATAAATCAGAAATAAAAAATAATCTGATGTATTTGTATGGTAGGACTTTTTTCATCTCACGACACCCCTATAGGTTAGGAACTAGAAGATTAAACAACTATACATGAAAGAGTTGAAACTTGCTCTACCTTGACGAGCTACAACAATAAAAGACTGCTTACATGAACAATGAACAATCTGAGTAAAGTTACATGGTGGATATTTAGCTGTAGAACATATATTTTGGTGGTTAAAGTACTTCTTTCATCTCTGCATGTCAGCAAAATATGTAGGAAATGCCCTGTTTCTCTTGAAGCCATAAAGGAGGCTGTTGTCAAGCTGAAACAACAACTGAGGAGGACATCAGCTACATTTAATGTCTGACATCAACCATCTTAAACCATGTGACTTCTGGCATGATGACCTCAATGATCCACAGGTGATACAAACGACCAAAACAGGTTCAAATGCCTGACGCTCTTGAATAGAACTGATGAAGCCTCTTGAGTGAAAGATCTGCTACAATAAATACCGACAATCCCTCTTTGACCTCTTCAGGTAAGTCTTTATAGTCATTAAAGAATATTATCTGCACTTTGATTAGGTTGTACTTACGAGCTGGTGGTGGTTGTTTCTCTTTATCTAAAGTTTGAGAGAGAAGAAAAATGAAGCTAATCAGTGTGAAATGTACCACGGCACACATCAGATTCACTTTGTAACTCTATTTTAGATCCATACCTTGAGCCTTTTTGACAGACTTCTTTTCAGCCTTCTCAGATTTGCCTGTGAGAAAAGAGACAGCCCTATTACAGCCTGCCAAATAACTCTCCATAATTGTGGTGCACATTCAATATTCTTGCAATATTATTCTCCTCTCAGCATAATATGGCTTGACGTGTCCCTAATTAGAACTATATCATGCATAAAACAGCCCATTTAATCACGTAATCTGCGTCTCTTTCCAAGAGGTGTCATTTGCCATGAAAGATGTCAACATGTTTCAAATGCTTTTAATGAGAAGAATCCACCCTCTTTCCTTCTTTTTCTGTGTTTGACTTTTATTTATATGACTGATCTCTTTGTTCAGTTTCTTAGAATTTTATCCAGAGCCAAATAACACATTGATGAAACTAGTTTTACACGTTAGCATGCCCTAGGGCGCAAACAATGTGACCAGAAAATAGATTTTAAGGTGGAGAACCTCAATGACCTGAAGAAAGTCAATTTGGTCTGAATGTGGTCAATGTCAATCCTACAGTCAAAACTACATCTTTGTAAAAACCTTTAGCGTTGCAGAACTTTTTTACTTTCAGAATGATTTCAGCATAAGCATAGCACCTTTAACTTTATCTTAAGTGGATCTACTTTCAGTTTAAGAGGTTGACTTTATGACCTAAACCTCAAGAACCCCATCAGAACATGTATAACTTAGTCAGATTTCCAAATTGGTAATTTTAACTTTCTTGTTTTTTTTAGTCAAACAAAATTTTATTTAACCGACTTTTAGCATAGATATTAATGGCCTCCAGAGGATGAATGTGACCGACGTCCCCACTTTTCATTTTATGTCAGCAGGAGGTCAAACTATCTCACCATCAGCAGGTTGTACAGACATTCATAGTTTCCAGATGATGAATCCTTTTGGTGACCTTACTACTTTTCCTCTAGCGTCAAAATGAGGTTCATAATTGTTTTTGAGTCAAATGTTTCCATAACCCTATGTATTAAACAGATGCCATGATATTTTGTACACACATTTATGAATTTTAATACCTTTGTTGATGTCTTGACTTTTAATCTGTGCAATCATCAGTTTGTCCATTTCTTTGAATTTTTACTAAACACTTGCAAAATGAATGTCATTCCCAACAGCCTCCTCGATGCTTTGTGTTCAGCGCTAATCAGCGAATGTTAGCATGCTAACACGCTAAATGAAGGCGGTGACAACGGTAAATATTAGGATATTTTCCACTGTAGGAGCTTGCAGGCCGTTTTAGGGCAGCCCAAACTTTTGAGAGTCTTCAAATCACTCCTGTCAAAGCTCTTCGGAGACTATTTTAGAGAAAAAGAAAAAGAAAAAGAACTTACTGTGGGATCTCTGAGTAACCCTAAAAAACTGCTGTGCTTTTCATGGCACTGTTTGACTGAACTCAGAGAAGATAATGCTAGTAGGTTAAATTCAGAGAGGACAAGACCAAATTGGGCTTTTTTTTTTTTGCCCTCTTGATGTCCCCGTTGAGTTATTGTCACCACCAGCGATGTCATCATTGCAAACATGTAAAATTTGTCATGTAGACCAACATAACAAATTGCGGCTGTTCTAGAACTACACAGAACTGAAGTTAAGTCCATTAACTATTATTTCATTCATCACAATGAAAACAAGCTAAAAGGGCCGACTGCGGTTGAAAGCTGCCTTTTGTTCATGTCTTCACTTTGACTAAAACTTTAACGAGTGTGAACCGCTGCAAAACTAATCACATTCCCAAATACTTCAGCTTGACAGTGTGTTCAATACTAATTAGCAAATGTTGCTAACATGCTAAATGAACATGGCGAACATAGTAAAGATTGAATCTGCTTAGCATTAGCAGACATCGTCCTTGTGAGCATGTTAGTGTGCCGATTTTAGCATTTAGCTCAAAGCACTAGTGTGTAGCTTTACAATGCTGCTAGCAGGCTTCAGGCTGTCCGTACACTACGAACGATATCAGCTCCTTGAAGCTGTAAATACGACATCACCATTATCTACAGGACAGGATTAAACCCATAAGTACTCAAACCAGACACAAAAATACAAACTTACTTTTCTTCTCTGCCAATAATTTTGATCGTATCTTTGCTAAAAATAAAAAGACAATTGTTACAAGCTGCAGGTTTCAGAACACTGAAACACAAAATGCTTGTGGTAGGGTCCGTGACTGGCAAAAGGAACACTTTGTACAATTTAAGATTATTTATATAAACCCCATTCACAGCTCAACTTATCTCAGGGCACCTGTCATAGCAAGGTCTGGACCTTACAGTATCGCATTATAGCTCCTTATATTATAACTCCCCTTCAGCAGCTTATGGGTAAGAGTGGGAAGAAAGAAAACTGTGGGAGAACCAGGCGCAGGGAAGGTGGCCGTCTGCTTGACCAGTTGGGGTGAGGAAAAGGGGAGAAACAAAAGGATACTAGAGAGAAAAACATGAGAGCAACACTGACAAATTACCTGCTTCAGATGAAGATCTGGCAGGTTTCTCCTCTTTGGCAGGAGAGGTAACATTCGCCTTCTTGACGGATTCTAGTCTTGTTCTTAGTCTGATTGGCTGTGGACTGGGTTCTGCATCTGTTTAATACAAATTAACACCAAGATTTAAATGCCATCTGCATTACAGGAAAGGTGCTGCAAGAAAACCTTCAACCGAGTGAGAAGTTTAATTTTAGTGAATTCATGCATGCTCAGAGTTGTACCTGTCTTAGCTGCAGATGCCTTGACTTTACTCTTGACAGATGAAGCTTCTGAGGGGAGAAAAAACAATTAGTTTCCAATCATCTTTCATGTCACTGACATGACTGATGATTGGCTTTATGCAAATGAATGAATGTCGGTGTGTGGTATTACCTGTCTTTTCAGAAGCTGATTTCCTCCTCTGTCGAACAGCTGCAGGCTCTAACATAATGAGGAAAGAGTTGTGATTAGCTGCTTGAATAATTTGTTTTCTTAATAAAATATTAGCTTCGCCTTCACATGAAAGAGGGTTGTGTCAGATTGCATTTAATTTTGGAAATATTCTACAACACCATATGTTCTTATGATGTTTTACTTTTCTTAGGAGCTGCAGCAGTTTTGGTTTTCTCTTTCGCAGGTGGCTCTATACCAAAACAAATATAAGAACCAAATAAGAAAAAAACTAATGCAAGTTACAATGTATACAATTTATAGAATCTATAAAAATGTTCTTCACCTTTCTTAGTCACTTTGGCTTTTTCTTTTTTTGCAGCAGGCTCTGTAGCAACAAACACATATGTTTATGTATAAATTTAAATGTGATTTCGAAGGTATGCACAGTTAATATTCACCTTTTTTTGCAGTGGCTGCTTTGCTTTTGTCTTTCGAAACAGCAGCATCTAGAATTGGGGGGGGGAAAGAGAATCTGAATTATGTTATTTATACCTTCATGTGAAAGTATGTTTGTTTATTTACAACAGAGCACAGCTCAAATGGCGGTCTGTGTCATTTGTAACAACACTCAAGTGTATGGTCGTGAAAATAGCAAATTAACCAGCTGTAAACATAAATTACCTTTCTTCGCTTTCTCTTTGGCCGCTGCTGGCTCTGAGGGGGATAATTGCAGTGAAATGGTTATGCAGAGTTAATTTTCCTTAATGAATGCATTCATATAACGCATTGTGTCGTTGTACATCATTGTTATGTTCTGCAGCTGTAGTTTGTTGCTGGGGAATATTCCAGTTAGCGGGCAAATTAGGTGTTTAGTAGATGCGGAGAAGCATGCAGTACCTTTCTCTGAATCAGCAGCCTTGCCTTTCTTTGTTGCAGCTGAAAATGACAAGATCCTAATTATTGTTCACTGCTGTAATTAAGTGAAAAACAATTACGTGTGCAAGTTTAGCTCATTAAATAGTTTGTACCTTTCTTAGTGGAGGCAGCCTTCACTTCCTCATCAACCGTCTCTGGTTCTTGGAGAGAAGAAGAAAGAGGTTGTTTTGTTTTTGTTTTTCTTTAATTAAATATATATTTTTAAAAGCAACATTTAGTTCAATGTTAAATTTTTAATCTTAATTATTCATTCGTATTTATTAGGGATGCACCATATATTGGTGACCACATGGGTATCGGCCGATAATAGCGTTTTTTCCGATATATCGGTATAGGTCCTGGACTGAACGTTAAATATGTTAAAATATGTTTTACTTTTGTTACGCAATAAAGACGACTATATCTAATTTAGTATGGGCTTCTTTAGAATAGCTTTCATGTTCTCACAGTCCTTACTTATACTCATTATCGGCGATATCAGAAATCTTAATATCAGATATCAGATATTGGTATTGGCCAGAAATTTTAATGTCATGCATCACTAATATTTATAGGTTTAGATATACATACACCACTCAGCCACAACATTAAAACCTCATTGCAGGACCGACCATCTACTCTTCCATCTAGGCAGCAAGTGAACAGTGAGTTCTTGAAGTTGATGTGTTGAGAGCAGGACAAATGGTCACCGTTATGGATCTGAGCGACTTGGACAAGGGCCCTATTTGTGATGGCTAGACAACTGGATGAGAGCATTTTGAAAATGACAGGTCTTGTGTGGTGTATGCACATTACTTCCCTGGGGAAGAGATGGCAGCGGGTGAACTAAGGTAAGAAGGAAAGTCAGTGGCAGTGGCAGTGGCAGCGTAATGCTCAGGGCACTATTTGGTTGACAGTCCTTGGGCCCTGGCATTTGTGTGGATGTTACTTTGACATGCAGCATCATGGTTGCAGACCACGTACGCCCCTTCATAGCAGCAGTAAATTCTGACAGCAGTGTCCCTCTTTCAGCAGGATAACGCTCACGGCCACACAGCAGAAACTGTTCAGTGATGTTTTGGTGAACATGGGTTCAAGATGTTGACTCCAAATTCCCCAGATCTGATGTCATCAAGAATCTGTTGGATATTCTGGTAAAATTGGGCAACTTGATGCATGATACCACAGCATACATTCAGAAGTCTGTGGAGTTCAGGTTTCTATGAATCAGAGCTGTTTTGACGGCAGTAGAGGGGCCTACCCAACATTAGGAAGGTGGTTTTAATATTGTGGCTCATCAATGTAAGATTCACAGGATTATCATACTAACATTCAGGTTTCAGTCTGTAGGAACAACTAGTGAAATGAATATAAAAACTAAAAGGCTAAGGTGTCCTCAACAGTTGCTGCTTTAGAAAGGCATATTTTGATTTACTTTTGAATAAATCTGAGTCTAAACTCTTCCTCACCCTGAACTGGGGCTGCAGCAGGCTGAGCTTCGACAGCCGGAGTCGGGACCTCGGGCTGAACAGGAGCCGCTTGTTCAGGGGCTTCCGGCTGCACAGGCTGAGCTGGTTCGGGCGGAGGCGGCATCATTGGCTGCATCATTGGTGGATATGGATGATACTGTGCGTACATCGGGTGCATCGGTGGGAGAGGAGGTTGTTGTTGATAAAGAGGCTGCGTGGACGGAGCTCCAGGAGGGACGGGGTGGGCGGTCAGAACAGGAGCAGACGGAGCTGAAAATAACAAAATTATGTTTTAATCTTCCGGCAGAAAAGCCAGAAAAAAATCTATAATCAGGCTGATCAAAACATTCCACAGGAACAGTCGCTTAAAGCTGACAAGAGAGTAGCTACCTGGCATGGTTGGAGGAGGGTATGGATTGTCTGTGACTACGTGATGGACTGAAAGACAAAGAGTTACCTTGACATTTCTGCTCATAAATACGAGAAATCAGCATAACTGAAGCAGACAGTCATCTGCAGGTTATAATTTTCCCCGTATGATATTACTCAGATGAATCGTTGAATTCTTTGTTACTTACCGTACCATCCAGGAGGGGATGGACAGTAGACAGGCGCAGGTTTGCAAGGGCCGACTGTAATGAAAACAAAACACAGGTTAGTGTTTATTTATGTGATCCAAAGCAATAATTTGAATTCAGCGTGATTACGTATAATGAAAATGGTTGGTTTATACCGTCTTGTCCAGATTCTGTGACTTGTTCCTGCTTTTTGGTCTCTGTGAATAAAGATAAAAACCAACAACCATCAGTATATATTTGAAGTACTACTACTACATTTCCTCTCCTTTCTGACAGAAGATGGTGAATATGACTTATTGGTGGTTGATTCCCTCACCTGCTTTGGGCGTCTTGGTTTTCTCTTCTCTCTTAACTTTTTAGAAGTAAAAATATCACATTAGTTTAATTAAGATAAGACAAAACTTTATAAATCACAAAGGAAATACCGCTAAAAAAAATAAAAGAAACACGTAAACAACACAATGTAACTCCAAGTCAACCACACGTCTGTGAAATCAGCCTGTTCAGTTAGGAAGCAACACCTATTGTGAATCAATGTCACCTGCTGTTGTGCAAATAGAACAGACAACAGGTGGAAATGAGAGGAAATTAGCAAGATGACCCCTATAAAGAAGTGGTTCTGCAGGTGGTGACCACAGACCATGTCTCTGTTCTCATCCTTTCTGGCCAATATTTTGGCCACTTTTGCATTTTGTCAGTGCTCTCAGCCCTAGAGGTAGCATGAGGCGGTATCTACAACCCACAGAAGTTGCTCAGGTAGTGCAGCTCATCCAGGATGGCACATCAATGCAAGCTGTGGAAAGAAGGTTTGCTGTGTCTCTCAGCACAGTGTCCAGAGCCTGGAGGAGACACCAGGAGACAGGCCAGTACACCAGGAGACGTGGAGGGGGCCATAGGAGGGCAACAACCCAGCAGCAGGACCGCTACCTCCTCCTTTGTGCAGGAGGACCAGGAGAAGCACTGCCAGAGCTGCAGAATGACCTCCAGCAGGCCACTAATATGCATGTTTCTGCTCAAACTGTCAGAAACAGACTCCATGAGAGTGGTATGAGGGCCCGACGTCCACCAGTGGGGCTTGTGCTGACAGCCCAACACCGTGCAGGGCGAACACTAAGATTGGCAGATTCTCCATAGGCGCCCTGAGCTCTTCACGGATGAGAGCAAGTTCACACTGAGCACATGTGACAGACGTGACAGAGTCTGGAGACGCCATGGAGAACGTTCTGCCCTCCATGGGCCAGCCAGAGGTACCCTGACAGCTATTAGGTACCGGGATGAGATCCTCAGACCTACTGTGAGACCATATGCTGGTGCAGTGGACCCTGGGTTCCTTCTGATGCATGACAATGCTCGGCCTCATGTGGCTGAAGTGTGTCAGTAGTTCCTGCATGATGAAGGCATTGATGCTATGGACTGGCCTGCCCGTTCTCCAGACCTGATTCCAATTGAGCACATCTGGGACATCATGTCTCGTTCCATCCACCAACGCCACGTTGTACCACAGACTGTCCAGGAGTTGACTGATGCTTTAATCCAGGTCTGGAAGGAGAGCCCTCAGGAGAACATCTGCCACCTCATCAGGAGCATGTGCAGGCGTTATAGGGCGGTCATACAGGCACATGGAGGCCACACACACTACTGAACCTCATTTTGACTTTTCTTGAAGTTGGATCAGCCTTTAACATGATTTTCCACTTTTATTTTGAGCATGATTCCAAATCCAGACCTCCATTGGATATTAGTTTTGATTTAAATTGATCAGTTTTGTTATTTTGTTCTCAACGCATTCCACTATGTAATGAACAAAGATTTTCAGCTGGAATTTTTCATTCATTGAGATCTAGGATGAGTTATTTTAGCATTCCCCTTATTTTTGTTGAGCAGCATATGCTCTGCTAATGACAGACAACTCTCTTTTCACTATTAAATGCCTGGAATAAATCTTCATACCTCTGAAAAATGGAGAAGTTCTCATGATCCTCTTGATTCTCGGCTGCAAACCTGCAATTCTGGGAAGAGCTGGATACAACACATAGAGATGACTGTATTTATCACACCAGTGTAAGGACCAGCATTAATAACTACATGTGGGTTTCAAGACAAAGATGATATCAAGATGGTGATAAATGATACCTTTCCTTTTGGGCTTCTCGTCTGTCTTTACAGGTGCCCGCTCTTAAAATGAAAAATGACATTAAATTAAAATGGCTACTGAACCATTTAAAGGACTTTACTTGGTTATGCATCATAATGTTTCACTGAATTACCACTAGTTTTATGTTATGGTCATACAAAAAGATTTTACTCTCCTGAATTCTGCCTCCAGTCTGCCCCACAAATTATGTTTAGTTTTAGCTTGGAAATGGGAGTTACTCTAAAACACCAACTTCATTATGTCAGATGAACTTCCAAAAAATATTCTTTATCAGAAGTTTTGTCTGGTAGCATTAGTAGAGAATGCTATAGTGAAAATCTCCATTTTTCATCCTTACCCTTTTTCCTCCTCACAGCTGAAACCCTCCTGGGAGCATCTGCAAACACAAACACCAGACCTTCAGCTACAAAACCGAGGATACAACACTGAGTTTTTTCAACGGTAATGTACTCCTGACATTGCACAGCAGACAGGAGGATACAAATTGGCATCTGTTGCACCAAACTGAAGTACATATTCTAGAACACCAATTTAAACACAATTTCAGTGCATGTTTTTGGAATTACGACGTCACCGTTGTGTGCCTATGCAAAGCAGTAAAGTTGCAGTTTGCATCCATCTTCCCTCCTGTTTCTGAGTTATCATGTGAATAATGACCACAAAAGTGTTTGAAGAACATGACAGTGCTACAGTGGAGTTGACCCTTGACCTTTTGGATGTAAAATGTCCTCACATTTGTGTACAACTATTGACATAGTCAGCAAATGGATTCTGGAGTTTCGATGCAAACGTGTCTTGTTTTTGCAAATCTTCCAAACAAACATTAAAGTATTTGTTTGTTTTTACGACTGGTCTCCAGGAGCGGTATGTGGACAACCAATTTATACATTTGAGAATAAATTCCATCCACCAGCTGTGTGGTAAATAAAAATGTGACATTGCATATCTGACGACTAGCACAAACCTTTTTTGTCTGCAGACTTGGTGGAAGCCTCTTTGGTCTTTGCAGAGTGCATACAGGGACACACTGAAATCACAAAGCATAAAGTTTCAGCGCACAGAAAACAAATGTGACAAAACCTCTGTAACTATCTGCAGGTTCTGACTTGAGGGTTCAGTCTTTGGTGCTTCCTCCTCCGGTTCAGGCACAGGTTTGATCACATCCACTGTTGCCTTCTCCTCGTCGTCATCTTCGTCGTACTCCTCTTTTTTATCTTCGGGTTCGTCTACAGATTTCTGAGGCTCTTTAGTCGCAGGCTCTTCATCCTCTCTGTCATCCTCGTCCTCCTCCTCAGGAGCAGCAGGCTGACCGGTAGCTGATGGTGAAAACAGCAAGTGATTCTAGCTTAGACTTATATTCATTTAGAAGGTCTTGTTGCACAGTTAGGTAAGTGCAACAAGGCAATTCAACATGATTAAATTAATAAACTCAGTCTAGTTTCACTGAGCTTTTTAGTCACATTTTTCATAATTTTTAAACTAGACAAGCACCTGATAAAGGAAAAAACTGAAAAAAGAACTGTCAACGTAGATAAAGTCAACATAATGCTGCAGTAAAACATCAAGACCAATTTATTTCCAGCAAAAACTAAGATATGCAGTAAAGAAACTGCAACAGATTGTGGGAGACCAAGAAAAAAAGTAGCAAAAAATATTACTACATTTTTCAACTAACCACATAAGCTCAGTTTGACAGTGCTGCAGTGTTGGCTGGAGTTGGCTTTGGCTTTACCACTGAGTATCTTTCTGCAGCCAGGTTTCAGGATTCTAAGCTCCACTGAACTGTAAATGTCTGACCGAACCTAGAGGTAGTAAAGTACTGTGACTGAAAGATCACTTATTTTCATTGCCCAGCTTTTAATTACAATACTTTTCTCTGTAACGAGCATTTTGCTCCTTTTAAAATGCGATTCTCTATATTATATTTTTGTAATTGTCTCAATATTTGTTATGAAACCGGTACAAATTAATGGACTGCATATATTGGAGCTAAAAGGATGATGCTGGTCATAGATGTTTACAAAAGATTTTAGAAAGCGTGGAAGCTCATTTTTATTAACAGATTAACAGAAGGACTGACTACTTTAACAAACCACAGCAGCCACAATGACTGTGTGCGTCTCACCAGGTTGCTCTGTTTCAGCCTCCTCAGTCTTGTCTTCACCAGCAGCCTGTTGGAGGTCGTCCTCGCCGTCATCGTCGTCTGCTTCGGTCTTTGCTGCCTCCTCCTGGACAGTGAATGCCGCTGCTGTGGTAGCTTCAGGACATAGTATAGCATAAATACACTTTCATGTGTACTGTGACATGCTAGACAGTTAGAGAACTGGAATGATGTGACAAGAAAAGAAAAATAAAAAGATTAAAGCAGCAACCTGATGCTATAATGCTAAATTATTCTAATTACTATTTTGTTTTTGACAAAAAGGATGTGTGGGGTTTTTTTTTATTGCAAATGAACCTAAAAACGTGAAACTTTTGTGCTGCCTGATACAAAATGAAAACTCGGGTTTCTGATTTTCTTCTATGACTTTTAATTACACCTTTTTTAAGGGTTCCTGGATCCATTGAGTTGTTCAAAAGCCTGTATTAAGAAGACACAGAGTTTGTTGACATGCAGGCTTCACAAGTGCACAGTAAAATGAGCAAGTAAAAGCAGAGAGACACTGAAAAGGAGGATTTGGTTGGAAAAAGAAACATCTCTTGTATGGACATATATTCAGGATGATGAGCACCAGTTGAAACAGAGCTGTCCTAAGTGGAATATGTTGCAGCCACAGTGGACATGTAGCTCAGCTGGACAACGAACATGAGTCTGACCGTCCAGCTTTATTCATGGCGACTAACAGCTGATTGCAAACAGCATTTTCCCAGATTATTATACAAGTGAGAACATCGCAGAGAGGATGAAAGAAGCGTTGGCTGCTTTCTGCTCAATGACAGACATGATGCAGTGAACATGGTGAAGGCTGCTGCTCTGAACAAGTGGAC